ACATTCTAATGTATGCCTATGCTTATAAATTCATCATTGTTTTTTCAGCCATTTGTAATTTCTGGAAATGTTTTTTTTTTTTTTTTTTTTCATTTCTTATTTATATATGCCCCTCTCCAAACACCTTTTAATATTTTCATTTTATTTCTTTTCCTCAACTAAACTTACCTTTTTAACTCTGTTAGAAATTCTTGCTTTCTGCTTTCACACTTTGTAGGCTGTAGTTGTAGGACTTGTAGTAGTAATCCCTTTGTATAGTGTTGTGTGATGTCTTTCCTCTATACACATCTATTGTCAGTGAGCATACATTTGTCTATACCTTGATCTATAAATGTGGCACACAACTCAAGAATCAGTACATTCCTCCCCAATATGAAAACTTGATCTTTTATAAGCTGTTCAAAAGTGTGTAAATACAAAACAGTGTCATCAAAGGAATGGACACATTAGTTTTATCATTATTCATTAAACTATAAACAAACACTGTAAATGTTTTACAGTTGTATATTTAACTCTTACAATGAAAACATTTTGCAGTTCCTGAACACACAAAATGTGACCATTTTAATATGAAATCTTTGCTTTTACTATTCTTTGAAATAATTTTATTCTTACTTACCTAAAATTAGTGTTATTTTTTTTTTTTTATGTACATAAAAAAGGCAGAAATTTGTCATTTTGATGGCTTATGATAAACATGCATGTTGGAAGATATGTTATTAAACTTATCAGATAATATGAAAGGAACTTACTTAAATAGACAAAACTTGTCTGTATTATTTAATGAAACATGCATATCTCTCTCTCTCTCTCTCTCTCTCTATATATATATATATATATATATATATATATATATATATAATGGCATTGAGCACTTTTTTTTTTTTTTTCAGTGTGCAATATTAGGCAGACTCTTTTGGGAACTGCTTATCCTTATCTCAGATCACACATATATATAATCTGCCAACATGATTACAAATGCAACATAATTTTTTTTTATTTTTTTTTTTTTTTTTTTTAGTTGTTGTGAGGGGTTTGTGTGTTTGACAGTTTTAACTGTAGAATTTCAATCTGAATATGCATTAATAAAATAGATTTTTTGTGATGAATACAATCATTCTTATCAAGAGTGATTAAAAAAAAAATGATAAAACTCTGAGTTGACATTTTGATAAGTGTTTGAATGTTTTTACTTATATATATATATATATATATATATATATATAGTTTTAATGTATGTTATTTTTATGGGTAAAAGAGTGCAATATGATGGATAGTGTATGTTGAATATAAAAGTGAACACTGATGTCAACACCAATTGGTAACAGCCTGTTTCATGCAGTCTTCAAGCACGCAACAGATTACCACTTAGTGTTAACCTCAGTGTTCACTTTATAAACACATTTATATATAAATCTCTTTTTTTCTCTTTTAATCTTATATTTATTATTATTTTAGTGGCACATGTGTTTGAATTGACATTCTTATTTATTTCGGAGCAGTCAAATTAATGTCTGCCGGCCTAGTTTATTTTAGACTTTATTAAAGAATTAAGGTTACTCGGCTGGAATTTTAGTTGGCTCAAAAATTCTTTTCAAGACTTGGACGTTTATTTTGAGGATTATTTGGCAGATTTAGCTAAAAAAAATGCTTTCCAAGAAAAAAAGGTTAAGTTCAATTCCAGCCTAGAATATTTTCTTTAATCTTTAAAATTCTGGAGATGATTTTGTTTGCAAAGCAAAAACTTTATCCTGCCACTGCAAGTGACTCAGACAAATGAATGATAGCACATTTTAATTTTGCAGTTGTGTTGTTGTATCCTGCTATGGCAACAGAAAATGACCATAACTGAAATTAAGTAATGCAGTAGAAGAACCTTGAAAGACAATGAAAAAGAAAATAGTGAATAATACAGTGCATTAAAGGTTAATAAAGTTTCTAATAATCTAGGCCGGTAGACTTTAATTTCACTGTCTGTAAATAGGCAGGGATGTCTACTCAAACATATGCACCCACTAAATAATGTATATCATAATAAGATAAATATGTGAGTGAAAATATGCTGCTGTAATTATACCAAGTGTAATAATCATAAAAATAATACAATTATCATTATTTCTGTGGGAATAATAGGAAATTGGTAAATGTTGGAATAAGAAAAATCTTGACAATAAGTATGAATCATATGCTTTATCAGTGACCAAAGAAAATTTGTCTTTGTTGTCAGTAGTGAAGTGATTAGTGACTAAACATAAATATCTGTAAGTGTAAATTCTATGAAATGAAATGTGTTTTTAACATTTTTTTTTTTTTGTGTGTGTGTGTGTGTGTACATTTTTAAGTTCTTTAAACTGTTGCATAAAAATCCTGGTATAAGTTAACCAAGTACATAAGGGTAACTATTTATGCACTGGTTCTATCAAATAAAAAGTGGAATTTGTATGATCTATCACTAAAGATGCAAGAAAAATGATTGACTCCTTGTACTGCTTCAGAAAGTACATTACTCCTGTTGGTCTCTATCTTTACATAAGTCAAGTCAGATTAAAAATGGAGACCAAATCGAACCAAAAATGCCATATTTGGGCTGATACTGCTCAATCCTCACTTCCCAGCCATGAGAGAGTTCAGAATCACTTATGTAGCCTTGTGGGAGGATGATTTATTTCCCATCCTACAGCCTCTTTCTCCACAGATACAATGTAACAAGCCTCTTGCTATTTCCATAGCAAATGTTCAAACTCCATTCTTTAGTGTCACTAGCTCATATCTTTACAGCCAAGACCTACCTTGCCACACCCACAAGGCTGAATTCCTCTCATTCCCTATGTATTCCTTTGGTAAGAAGGGTGTTACATTCAAATAGCTTTTCCCCAAGAACTGCTATTTTGTGGAGCAAACTCTAGCATGGATGCTTTCTGAACACTGCAATCTTAAATCTAGGGTTAGTTTTATGTTCATTTAAACATTGCAAACATTTTTGTTTTTCCACATTGCTGGTATTTTTTTTTAATCAGCTTTTTAATTGCTCATTATATATGATGAATTATTAATGTTTCTCTTTTGTCAAAGGAGATAATATGCCGTTAATCAAATCACTTGTCAACTACTCCCTTTATTCCCCCCCCCAAATGATACCCATACTTTTCTGTATCTATTTACTATGCCGTCTATTTTGTCTTCTTTTCAGATTCTCTTGCCTATACTCACTCTTACCAGCTGTCATATTTGCCTACCTTCAATTTTTTGTCTTCAAATTTACCCTTTACAAACTTTAGAAGAAATGTACCGCTTAGCTTGTTATTAATTCTTGAAATATTGATTTCAGTTTGATAAAGTTCCACTTAAGGGATCAAACAGTAAATTTTTAAATTGATCCAGTTAAACAAAAACAACTATTTTCTACAGCTTAACCATTCTTGTGTTATTTCTTTGGAATGCTAAATATGGTTGAAGATCATACAACTATTTCTTGCATGAAAATGATCTATTTATAAAATGTGGATTCTGTCAGCGAATGTTATTGTCATTTCAATTTCTTTTCACTTTCTATTTTTAGGTAGAATTTTAATTAGCTTCCCATTCCAGTTTTGATGAGGCTACTTATTACTTTGATCACTTGAGAATCAATGTTTTCAATGTCTTGAAAGCAAAAAACAATACAAAATATAAATTAACAGCTGATTGGCTGTTTTGTTTAAATTTCATTATCCAATCAAAGATAACGCTTTCAAAAAATATATTTTTTTAAATTCAATATTCAGGTTTTATTTTTTTTAAATGATTTCATGAATTTTTGTAATTCATAAAGTTAAATTGCTTTTTCTAAATGCACTTTATAAAATTTTTAAGTATGCAGCTTGATGATGAAAAATAAAACTTTTTTGAATTTTTTTTTTTTGTATGATCTTTGTAAATGCATTTAATTCAGTAGCGAATATTATTTACATTGATAAAAAAATATACAGTGAAAATTTCAGATCAAAATATTTAGAAAAAAAAAACACTGATACTGTTAGTTTATATTTTTAAAATGAATCGCATTCCTGGTAAAGCTGAAGATATCTTGTAAAATAATGTAAATGTATGTCAACTATAAGAATGATGTATTAAATTTGTTTTCGCATCACTTTTTATCTTATTTATCATTAACCTGAGAAAAAAAAGATTAAAAGAAAAATAATTTTATCTCCTAAAAAAAAAAAAAAAAAAAATTCAAAATGTGAATTTGTAATTGTTGTATCCCAGTTTTCTGGGATGAACAAAAATAAAAATAAGACAAGTGTATTTTAACACATAATAAAGTAAATTATTTATTTACTGGCTGAGAACAGCAAGGACAAGAGCATGTCAGCTTGTCACTGTTAAATTCAGATGTGACCGCTCCGACTAGCGGACAAGGGAAGTAACTCAATGTATTTTGGGTTATTGTCTTTTATAGGGGGATTAAATCAGCTTCCTCTAGCAATAATGCTGACAATTTCATTAATGCAATTCTCTTTGCTGAAAACATTGTAAAGAAAAGAGCTTTTTTGTGACTTGGTATTTTACCCAAATTACTGGTGAAAATTGGAAAAGATATATCTATGCTTCTATTATGAGATATAAATATAATTTCAAAACTCTTAGTTAAATTAATAACAAAAATGTAAAAGAATAATATTGAAAGCTCTGAGATAATGTTTTGTGATTTTCAATAGTAATGATCAGGATGAGTTGGTCTTGAATAATTCAGTATTATTCCAAATTTATGATGTAAAATGCAAATTTGAGCTCTATTTATATTCAGCATCATTCAACTTTCTGAAAATGTATTTTCTTATATTTTGTAAATAATCCTTGAAGATGGTGCCCAATTGGACCATTCAAAATCTAATGATGAAAAACATCCTGAAAAATTTAAATATTTATTTATGCACTTTGAGTCAGGTCGATTTTACATGTACCTCTTCAGAAATAGAATCTAAATTGATTGATTTTTTTTTTCTCCTCTTCTGCAGGTATCACAGAGGCAATTGTGTCTCCTGGATTTTTTTCTGGCAGTGAGAACCTCAAACTGGAACCCTACAGACCAGATTACTCAGTGATGGCAACCACAGATCTGCAGTACTTGCAAATCAGTCGTGAAAAATACATTGCTGCTCGAAGGGCCACACTGCTGGGTCAGAAGAGAGAATCCCTTGCCTCCCAATATGAGGCTGAAGCATTTAAGAGGGAACTGAAACGAGAATTAAATCGTTCTAAAGTGTCAACTGACTGGAAACCATCACTGGATTCATTTACTTCTGACAGCCGGCGGGCTTCAGAGGGTGCTATACAGAAGCACAATCACTCTGCAAGCAATTCAATCAAGTCAGTTCACGAAACACCTCCATGGCCAATGCAGAAGTCTGTATCATCAAGCTATATTTCAAACTTGAAAAAAAACAATACTCATGAAAGCAAGGAACGTGCAAGCTCTTCATCGATCATGGAAAATGCTGAAACGGGCAAGCTGTTAGCTTCCAATTATGATGAGGAAGGTCGCCATGTTGAAGCAGACGATCATGACAACACATCAGACAGGACTAGTCCCACCACAAAAAATAAAGGGGAGAGAACTCCACTTGTGGTGAATAGCTGAGACTGGATTTTTTAGGCTAAAGATGATAACAGTTGGTGGAGAGAGGCTCTTGAGTGATATGTTGACAACTGGGGAGGGTTGGGGGAAGAAGAAAATCTACCAGGATTAAAGTCAAGCATTTAAATATCTACAAAAGTAAATATAATATTATGGGGAATTCTCTTTAAGAAAGTGAAAAAAATTAGGAATGCAAGTGAATGGTGAAATAATAATTTTCTAACACTGATTCCCCTACCCTAGAATGAATGAAACATCTGGGCTAATGAACAAACGTGTAAGAATGTGTTATGAGGATAACCAACCCTCTATTCCCACCCCACCCCCGCCTTAATTCCTCTATGCCAGATGAAAAGTTTTTTTGTTTTTTTTTTTGTAAAGAATTGGCTGTGAGGGCAAAGTGGGGATTGGGCTAAAAGTATAAATTAACTTTTTTCCCTCCCCTTCCCTTTTTGTCATTAAAAGAAAAATTGTTTGGTGGAAAAGAGGAAGCAAAAAAAAAAAAAGAAAATGTTGTTAATTATCTAAAGTTAAATAAGGAATTTGACAAGGATTTTATCTTAATTTAATTCAAAAAAAAAAAAAAAAAAAAAAAAAAAAGCAATTTTAAATGTAAAGGAAAAAACAGAGAAAAATTTTATCATCCGGAAGAAACAAAAACCAATTTCTTTAAAGTGTCCCCCTCCCACTGCATTTCCCTTTTTTTCTTCTCGTCTCACAAAAGTACAAAGAATATTAATACTAAACTATTAAACTGATAAAAATGCATTTAGCATTATTCTATTCTTACCAGTGAAATGTTATTGTTATATACTACATACATCAGGTTAAAATGGATCATCTCAATTATATTGTCAATATTATTATTATTATTATTCAGAATTATGTTATCTAAAAAAAATTTAAAAAAAAAAAAATTAAAAATGAGAAAATTTACAAAAATAGTCTTTAAAGAATATATGGGAAAAAAAAAATCATTAAAAAAAGAAAAATATATCCACCCACACACAAAAAACTCCTTACATTTTGATCTCTAAGCCTCTCTTAACTTTTGTTCCCCCTCCCCTTCAAGATTTTTGACAAAGCAAGCAAACTTCAAAGGTTTAAGAGTGGCATAAACTCTTTGAATTAATCCATTTCTCCCAACCCCCCATAAAAATAAAGGTGGTAGTGACTTTTACACACACACACACACACACACACACACACACACACACACACGTAAATTAAAAACTTAGAAAAATGAAGGTTTCCTCATTGACTTCAAACTTTAGTTTCTTGACACAATATCTGATATTTCTCATTCTGAAACTATTTAGCATTGAGTATTGCACTTGAAATGTTTTAAATTATACTTAAACAAATTATTATACTTTAAGAGAAATGGTTTAAGTCATATACTCCCTAAAAATTCTTTTGTTTTACTTTTTCTTTATATATATTTTTTAACTTTAGCATTATCTTTGTAATTTTTTTTTGAGTTTTCATTTTTCTTTCTTTCATTATCATCTCTTCATAATCTTAAATTTTCTTTCATTTTTTAATGCCATTTTTGTTATCATTTATTTTAATTTTGTTGATATTAATTAATTTTTCAATGTTAAAAAAATTATCTTACATTTTTATTTTATTTAATTTTTTTATTTTCAGTTTTTTATTTTTCCCATTTTTCTTTTCTTTTTTCATTATTTTATTAACATTTATTCAATTTACACTAATGTTATTAAAAATATAAATTTTTAGTTTTTACTTTAAGAAATTAAAAAAAAGAAAGAAAGTAAGCAAAGATTTTTTTTTTTTTTTTTAACCAGTGGAAGTTGACTCTATTTTGCATTCCCTATTCTGGCAGCCATTTCAGTTGATGATTTTCTTTACATGCACAAAAGAATCCTGTTCCCAACAAACCACACCACTACAAACCAACCCCCAACCCTTTTATATGGCTTTTACCAGCATGAAACTCCCACCTCCCTCAGTCTTTCAGGCCAGTGTACATAGAACAACAGACACAAATCTTGTACCCACTGTGGTAAAATCCACAGCACCCAAGGGTATAAATGTTTCTAGGCAGACACAAATATATGTACTGGACATATACTAACCAAAAAAATTTTAAAAAAATTAACTGTCTTAAAAGTAATTCACTCTCTTGATTTTTTTTTTTTTTTTTTTTTTAATTTTTTGATTTTTTTTTTTTTTTTTTTTTTTTTTTTTCTCTCTCCTCTCTAAAGGGAATTGGTTTTTAACTTTTTCATAATTTCTCTGTTTCATAGTGTATTTTTTTTTTTTTTTTAATATAGATATCCTTTCTTGGGTCATTTCACTGGCCTCAAAAATAACAGCAAAATGGAAGAAAAGACTGACATTACTTTTCTGCAGAATATTGGCTTCTCATAAATTTGTGTTGGTTTTCTGATACTACTTAAATAGATTGGTCCACTCGTAAAAAATAGGAAAAACTTTTTGGGAATAATTTTTGCAGATTAGCATTCATTAGACCCTTCTCAATGTGTAATATTTGTTTGAATCAAAAAAAATGATTTTTTTATTTTATTTATTTATTTATTTATTTTTTTTTTTTTCTAACCATTTTAGAGGTGGGGGGGTTGTCCTGTTCATGATATTGATGCAGTGTCAAATCAAGCCATGACTCTTAGTTATTGGATCTAGTTGTTATTTACAAATGTCAAGTTTGAAAGTATGGTAACATCATATTTTTAAAACTTTTTTAATTTTTCAAACTTTGAAAAAAATTTTGTGGTATGCACAAACATTTGAGGTCAATTATTTATTTTAAATGAAAAATAGATACATACTTTTATTAAATTATGTAAATTTGTTTTTTAATTAAAAATGTATATTTATAGGTGCCTCCAAATAAAAGTGATATCTAAGGTTAAAAAAAAAATCTTTCTTGAAGCTTTTCAGTTTTAATTTCCAGTTGATAGATTAAATTTAATATTTGCAATAAGCAAAATATTTTGCTGTATTTAAAACAGAATTGATTGGAATTCATTTTTTTTATTATCAGTAAAATCACTATATTGACAAATCTGTCAACACTGTAATTCCCTTTATTAAAAAATCATTCAGAAATATACTTTTCTGAAACTATTTGAGGAAGATTAGCTGATTTAAGATTTAATTACTCTGATTCATACATAAAAGCAATTTGTTTGATCTCCAAAAATTAATGATTTAAATTCTTATAACTAATATATATATATATATATTAAGCAATACAAAAAAGAATCTTAAAATGTCATAAAATTAAATAAATGGAGGTTAACTGATGCAAAAAAAAATATTTTTATGAAGATTTTAATTTTCTTTAAAGTCCAACAATTATCTGATTTTTTGCAAGAATTTCTAAATCTGTATTTTTCACCACAGAAGACACTAAAATTTTCCATACTAATTTATGAACACCCACTGACTCAAGATAAACAAAATTTTTGATCAAATTTTTAAATTTCTAAAAAGGATCAGAAAATATAATTTAATAATAAAAAAATCCTTTAACATAAAGATTTTGACAAAAAACTGGTTTTATTAAATCTGTGGCATTTTTTAATGAAGGCTTTTTTTTTTTTTTTTAGCAAATCCTAATAGGTACATATATAGATTATATAAGGAAAATCTTTTGTATACTCCCACCAACAACAAAAAAAAAAAGTTCGTTTTTCATATGCCAAAAAATGAAATTCATTAACTCTATAAATCAATTTATCTCTGTATTGATATTATGAACATGACCATCATCCCCTTCTAAAATGATAAAAATGTCAATATTTTTTTGATTCTGACAAGTGTTGTGGTCTGTGTATAAAAATTATTTTCCAACACTTTTTTTTTTTTTTTTTTTTACAAGGGACCACTGTATTTATGTAGTCTTGATTTTCTTTGAACTCTGCCATTTGATTAACCACTTGATTTTTATTCTTTATTCTATAATACTTGGTAGTCTGGGTGAAGTAAATGAATTAGTCCATTGGTTTATCTAACTGCAACAAACTAGCTGTAACTTTTGATTGTATTAGATTGCATCATATAACAGTCGTCATATAAATGCATCTGATCCCAATTATATATAATGTCTGGGAAGTTAGTATTTTTAAAAAAATACAGCTTGGATTTCTAACCTTTTATTCTCCTGCAAGCGAATGTAAAATAACTTTCAAAATGTTCTCTGGCTAGTTGTGCATTTTTATAACTCAAAACTATAATCAATAGGGCTTGTAAAATATATTGTGAATATCTTAATTACCACTTGTGTGGAAAATATTCAATATTCACTTAGTCTGATTTTCTTGGCTGGATCAGGCTTTTTATTTATAAATATTTTTATATTATTAAATATTTAATTATTGGCATTCATCTGATGAAGATATTTGCTTTTCCACCAACAATGTTGATGAATTAAAAAAAATTTTTAAAAAAAAGAAAAAAAAGAATCTTGCTTAATGTCAAGTCCTTAAGCAATTTTTTTCAAACCATTTGCTCATTGCTGACAATACAACTGTCTATCTGAAAAATATATTTGCTGTTGCATGTAAAAAAAAAAAAAAAAAAAATGAAAAAAAAAGGCTGTTTGAGTTGTTAGTGTTTAAAGTTCCTGATAAAAAAAAAAAAAGCAAGTTTAATTTTATGCTATTTTTCTTTTTATTTCTTTTTCTTTTTTCTTTCTTTTTTTTCTTTGGCAAGTGATCCCAATATGTATATACCAAAGAGATCATTTTTTTTTTTCTTTTTTAATAACTTTATTAGGGGATGACAAGTGACAAATATGAAATATTTACATATATTTGGATAATGTTAAATATCTTTCCAAATGTTGAAAATTCATCAGATATGACTGAATGGTATATTAATATCTATAAAAAAAAAATGTTGTTGGTTAGTCTCATCATAGATGACATGTTACTTATAGAAACAGGTATGTCTTTAAACTTAAGGTTAAACCTCTTCCCATTTTTTCATGTTCTAATATAAAAGATCTAAAA